AAATCGGCTTCTACCACCACCTCTATTATTTCCACCTCGTATCACCACCTCTATTACCACCTCTATCACCATGTCCACCACCTCTACTAGCTCCACCACCTCTACTACCTCCACCAGCTCTACTACCTCCACCACCTCTATCACGACCTGTATTATCACCACCTCCTATTAGTAAAAATATTATGACTTATTATTATGTCATATGTGCGTATAGCGTAAAGCTAATCTTTTCTACCCCTTTTAGTCTTAGTTAGGTATTATAGCGTATAATAGATATAAAACTACTTTTTATACTTAATTTAAACCACCTATAATAAAGTAAACCACCACTTCAAACCTATTTACGGGTATACACGAGGTCAGTTTACACCTATATAGTAAACCCCTAGCGTACCATTCTACAGTAAACAATTTTTTACCGTAGTGATTGTATGCTCGATACCGCAATATTGCACGTACTTTTATATCCTGTGCCACGTTGTACGTATCAACTAGACACTCAGTTCGCCTTCCCGTTGTGGGAGCGGTGGATGGGATTTTAGATGGATCAGGCAGAGGGTTGTAGGGTTGTGACTGAGACGAATACGAGCAAGTGTACTAATACCACGTAGGAGTGGATTCATTGATCTTGCGTATTCCATGTTCTGAAAGCTTTGCACTTTCCCTACTGGCTAATCATGACAAGCCTGCTCATCCAGCTGGAATACTCGGTAGTTGACGTTGTATGTCTGCTCTTCGGTATCTGCAAGATCTCGTGTCTGCCAGGCTTTTCAGCACCGTTCATCTGTCCACACACACGCGCCCTATTGCTCAAGATCCCCTCTGATCTCACTGATGCACGGTGATGTGGGACCAGACCCTTCAGATCCAGAAATAAAGCAATCCTCATTCCCACAATCTACAGCAAGCGATACACCTGCGGCTACCGAGGGATACATATATAGACAAAGCCTGGAGTGAATGCAGTGTCCCAAGCTTGGCATACATGGCTAGAATGCGAGTCCCTTTCCATATGCGGGAGATTTCACGGCGTGTAGATGATCTAGGCCGTCTGTAGTATTCCATACAGAACATGCAAGAACGAAGTGCCATAGGCAAGGGACAACATGAACACTCTCAACACCCTCAAACCATTTGTCCCCCTAACAAACCATTCCACCACCCCAACCCGCTCCGGGCCGCAACCCGAGCACAAATTAACATTGGACAAAAGCTCACCCAGACGCGCGGGAAAGAGCAGGCGTACTCGCCTGGGATAACTCCCGCGGAGCCACTTCCATTCCCGAGAGTAAAGCCATGCACGAGGGAGCAAGACTTCCGCTCCATCCGCGGAACCCTAATCCCTGCTCACTGTCCCTTGCACAATGGGTTTTGGGGCGATTGAGGTGTTTTGGGAATCGGGGTGAGATGGTGACGGAGGTACCGTATGTGACAACGGGGGGGTTGATTTTATTTGGTGGTGTTTGGGCTGGGGCAGTAGAGCGAGGAGAGTGGACTGGGTGGGTGAGGGATTGATTGATGGTGATGGGATGATAGTTTGCGATTGCAGGAGGTCGGACTGTCCTCTAGTTTTCCATGTTGAAGGTTGTAGGCATTGATGTAGCGGGACGCTCGGGGTTCCCCGTACGGTGGAATTCCTCCGGACGAATAACCGTTGTGTTTCATTCCTGGATCATGGTGCCGCGGAGGAGGTATTTCAGGGTTTAAAGTTGAACAGCGGCCCTAGACCTGGTTGGTCGTGTGACTGACTCTTTGCTTATGCGATATGTTGTCCCTTTCATCTACCTTTGCCATGTCTACCACCAACGACGGGGTGGCCTTCTGATCCACCCCGTTTCTTTTCCCTACTAACTGTAGCAGTGTAGCATAGTTTTCCTTGAATTTTTTTCATTTCATTCATTTGATTCTTTTCATTTTCCATCATATATGCTTTTCTTTTCATAGTCATTTCCATACTCTATTTCCATATCCTTTCCTCCGCCCAACAAGACACAATCTCACTTCCTCCAACAGCCAAACCCATCCCCCCCTAACCCCTCCACTAACCAAACTAACCCTCCCAGACCCTCTATCGCGAAAACACCGAAATGCAATACCTCGGCTGCTTCCGCCGCAACGTCAGCACCACAAACAACACGCCCATCCCGCCCTTTGGCCCGCCCGACCGCCAAAAAGCATGGTACACGGGGCCGTGGACAAACGTCACCTTTGACCAGACCACGGTGCGCGGGCGCTGCGAAAACGACATCATGCAGCGGGATGCGTTTCAGTATGCGACGATTGCAGAGGGCGGCGTGTACTGGTCGTGCGGCATTCAGTTGCAGTATGATTTGGGGCCGAATGATCCGACAATGTGTAATGTGCCGTGTGCGCGGAATACGAGCATGGCGTGTGGAGGGATGGACTGGATGGATGTGTGGAGGATGCCTGGGTTTGTGGATTATTATGGGTTGGGGGGTGGTTCGACGGTGCAGGTATGTGTTTTCCTTTGCTCTGTTTGAAGGCTGTGCTCTGTGGACTTTGGTTAGTTTCCATCTGGTGAGTAAGGTGAGGATGAGTTGTGTGGCTGCGCTTCGGCCCAGTCAATGTCACAGCACGACGTCAAGTTTAGAGACGGCAGGCGGGAAGGGATGGCATGGCAACACTGGACATTCGACATATAAAGTCCCACCGACAACCAACATGCCAAACTCGAGGATGTTAGCGGTGGAAGGGGGCAATGGAGAAGAAATGGAAACCCAGATAGCGGAACTCAACACCACAAGCCTCCGAATTCGCAACACGTCTACGACACTGGGACATCAGGGGAAATTGTGGGATGGAAATGGTTTGGATATTCGGTTGGATGATTTGCTGCTGCGACATTGGCACTTTGAGGTGGTGTTGGGACGTGTTTTTTTTTGGGATGGAGTTGAAGGCATGGAGGCATGGGATGGAGGGATAGAGTATGCGATAGAGTTGGAATATGGCATAGAGTACGGCATACACAATCGACTCCTTCACAAATCATAAAACAAAAGATTAACCCACAACCCATCACATGATAACATTTATAGAAACCAGTGACTCAAGCACTCGACCCAGAACCACGTCCTAAACACAGATTCCAAAAAAAGCCATGGTTGGAACCGGGAACTTTCCAATACTAACCGGATGCATGGTCACTGGTCTGGTGAGGAAGGGGGGAAATTTGTGGGCTTGAGATGGGAGAGATGTTGGCCGTGAAGATTGAAAATATGGATGTAAGCCCATGTATACACAAACTACCAACTGAAAAACAAAAAATATATAAACCCAAACAACAAAAACATGTCCATAATCCTTAAATAATCTACGCTGACCTAACTAATCCCCGAGCCAAAGGAGTCCTCTCTCTCTCTCTCTCTCTCTCCTCCCTCTCTACCTCTAGCTCCACATGTGCCCATCTCCACCTCCACCTCCACCTCCACCTCCACCTCCACCTCCCTATCCACCCCTCTGCCCCACCCCTCACAAACCAAACCCAAAACCCAAAACCCAAAACCCAAAACCCAGGTCCCAAAAACCCCTCCCCAGAAAAAAATAAACCAGCACAAAACATAAAATAAAGTAATATAGAGCGAAGCCATCTCGATTCCTCCCCCCCCCACCCCCCCCAGCCCAAAAAATGAGTCAACGTCCCAAAACACCTCAACACCAGCCCAAAAACACCACTTTACGGGACGTATAAAAGACAAAAAGACGCCCGAGATCCCCAAGTCCCAAAAAACCAAACTGGAAAAATAAATGCCGCGCCAATCCCATGGGTGCCCATGACCCTGCCCATGCTGCTTAAAAAAAAACACCCCCTCCAATCCGCCCTCCTCCCCTCACC